AACCCACCAGCCTCAACTTTCGGAAGGAAAGTTTGGCAATCTACTTCTGTCGTGATACCACCTCAGAAACCTGTGAAGGGGTCGCTGTGAGTCAAATCTGACTCTACGGCAGTGAGTTTGGTTTTTGGTTTTTAGCAGTCCATGGTACTTTAAGTATTCTTCGCCAACACCACAACTCAAAAGCATCCACTCTTCTTTGGTCTTCTTTATTCATTCTCCAGCTCTCACATGCATATGAGGTGATTAAAAATACTATGGATTGTGTTGGGTGCACCTTTGTCCTTAAGGAGACATCTTTGCTCTTCAGCATTTGAAAGAGGTCCTTTGCAGCTGATTTGCCCAGTGCTATACGTCATCTGATGTCCTGACTGCTGCTTCCATTGGCATCGATTGTAGAACCAAGCAATATGAAGCCTTTGACAACTTCAGTCTTTTCTCCATTTGTTGTGATCCTGCTGGTTATGTCAATGTCCATTCACAATGTCTCCTGTCTTTAATCCTTTTCCATACCTCGCTATCTTTCTGCCAGGAGCCTTTTCATAGCTCAAGTTACCCTTTCTGTTAAGGTCTCCCTGGTCACTCAAGGTGAGGTTGGAACCCTCTCCTTTGGATCCCTTGTTGTACCTTGCTGTTCCTATTATTTGAAGCCCCATCATCCTATATTGCAATCATTTGTTCCTATGTCACTGTCTGTCTTAGTTTTTTGAGTGTTGTGCGTAGAAAAGCCATTCCTTATTCATGTTTGTAGCCTCAGTGCCTTCCACAAACATAGGACATCATAAGTATTTGGTGACTGTGAAATGAAAGAATTAAATACCAGAACAAAATTCAGAAAGTCTTGATATATATTTTTAAATTTGTATCCTGTGTGGTAGAAATTTACCATGTTACATATGTACCTTGCATTCTTTATCTGGAGAAGAGAAGTAGTCTTTGTTTTCTACCTTCCTGTAAATATCACTCATTCAACCCAGAGTAAAAGTTTGTACAACAGAGGCAGTGTTCAGGTTTGCCTGGTAATGAGTTTTGGAAGAGGAGCTACTTGAGATGCTTCTTGAAGGATGGGTAAAAGTATGACTTGAATTACAGAGATTGAGGAAAGAGCGTAATCCTAGCATAGCACATGCAAAAACACAAATGCTCCAAACTGCATGGTTCTGGAGGGGACGTGTGGTTTAATTTGCTTGCAGTAGGAGATATAGTGGGATGTAGTTAGAGATGAAATTGAGCAGTAGGCAGCAACATATGCTGGAGGATTATTCATGCTTTGCAAACATGCCTGGATTTTATCTTTGGTTTATGAAATGCCACTGAAGCCTGTTAAGCTAGACAGAAACATAATCAGATGGGAGGAGAACTGAGAAGAAAAACCAGTTGAGGGGATTTGGTGATTATATATTATAATTTTATATGATAATTATCAAAGAGTTAATTATCAATTTAGAAATAATTTTATAAAGATTTTGAATTGTTACTTGTTGATTCTTCTAGGTTTAGGATTAAAAAGATGAGTCAGACATGGTCAGTCCCTGATTTTGAAATGGTGCCATAGAGTACAAGAAAATATAAATACATAGAGCAACTGATTACATAAATATGACAAAGGTGTACAAGTATGCCGTAGATTGTTGTGTGGTATTGTAGGTGTCGCTGAGTAGGCTCCAACTCATAGCGTCGCGTCCTAGGCTCCAACTCATAGCGTCTCGTCCCTATGTATAACAGAATGAAACACTGCCTGTGACGGCCCCACAATCCTTGCTGTACCTGAGCCCATCATTGCAGCCACTGAGTCAGTCCGTTTCATTGAAGGCCTTCCCCCTTTTGTTGAGCCTCTACTTTACCAAACATGATATCCTTCTTGAGGAAATGATCCTGACAGCATGACCAAAGTGGGTCAGATGAAATCTGGCTATTCTCGCTTCCAAGGAGCATTCTGGCTGCACTTCCTCAAGGACTGATTTGTTTGTTCTTCTAGCAGTCCGTGGTACTTTCAGTATTCTTTGCCAACACAACAACTCAAAAGCATCAACTCTTCTTTGGTCTTCCTTGTTCACTGTCCAGCTTTCACATGCATATGAGGCAATTGAAAATACCATGACTTGGGTTAGGCACCCCTTAGTCTTCAAAGAGACATCTTTGCCCTTCAGCACTTTAAAGAAGTCTTTTGCAGCAAATTTGCCTAGTGCAATATGTCATCTGATTTCTTGACTGCTGCTTCCATAAGTGTTGATTGTTGAAGGAACTGAATTTATTGTGCACTCACTTTCCTGGAGAATGAAGGTCTTGATGGATGAGAAGGGATTGGAATAGAGTAAAAGACCAATTATTCTGGGGAGAAGGAACCCTGGTGGCACAAATAGTTAAGCAAAAGTTTGGCTCTTCAGACTCATCCAGTGGCTCCATGAGAGAAAGATATGGTGATCTGCTTTCATAAAGATTATAGCCTAGAAAACTCTATGGGCAGTTCTACTTTCTTACATGGGGTCACTATGAGTCAAAATCAGTTGATGGCACCCAACAACAACAGCAGCAGCAATTTTGGGCAAAGATAGTAACGTACATGGAAGGATCCATGTGTTAGAGACTGTAGTCCATGATGGCTAGAGTCCAGAGCATTTGATGAGGCTGGAAAAGTATTTGGGATCATACTGTGATGGGCCTTGTATATTGTTGTGGAATCATTTACATTTTCTCCTAGAGCTTTATTTTGTAATTATGATCATAATGTATATTGATTGTCGTGTATATACGTAAACATGTCAAGAAAATAATCCTCTGTTATTCTATCACAAAACTTTAATTGCTATTCACATTTTCATGTATTTATTTCCACATTCATATATGTACTTAGGAGCTCTGGTAGCATAGTGCCTAAGGCACTTGACTGCTAACCAGAAGGCTGGTGGTTCAAACCCACCAGCCGCTGCTCGGAAGGAAGATTGGACAATCTACTTCAGTAGTAGTATCACCTCGGAAACCCAAGGAGGGGTTGCTGTGAGTCGGGTCCACCTCGACGGCAGTGAGTTTGGTTTTTAGTTCATGTTTCTTATACTGTGAGTTATTCTTGAGCTGTATAATCTTTTCCCTCCTTTTATTGAGCATTGGTATTTTTCTTCCTGATTTTAAGAAATATTTATATAAATTCTAACTGTTGATCAGTCCTTTTCCTGGCACATTTTTGTTTGCCTTTTAATATTTTTTTAAAGTAGTGAAGTTTAAGTAATTAAGAAAGTCCTCATCTCAAGGTCAGATATTTACTTACTGTTTTGATTAAGTTTTAATGATTTTGTGTTTTCTATGTTCATAACCCATGATGATGGGAACTTTTTGGTAGAACAGTGACATGATAGGATCTGGCTTCTGAAAGAAGTCTTGTGGCTCTGTGGATCGGAGTAAAGAGAGATGAGGGCCAGTGAAACCTGTCTAGAGGAGCAGAGATAAGGGTCTGAATTTATGGTGACAGTGAGGGTAAGACAGCAGAACTGCCCATAGAGTTTTCTAGGCTATAATCTTTATGAAAGCAGATCACCATAGTAGTTGAGGATGATGCTAATGTTTGCAGCACAATACTGATCATCCAAACTGATGATTCAGGAGATATAGCAGATTTAGTGGAGGATGGAGATTAAACTCCGAGAGCAAACCCACTACCATCAAGTTGGTTCTGACTCATATCGACTCTATATGACAGAGTAGAACTGCCCTGTAATGTATGTTTCCAAGGCTGTAAAACTTTATGGAAGCACATTGCCATATCCTCCCACAGAGTGGCCGCCAGGTTTGAACCACCGACCTTCAGATTAGTAGGTGAGTACTTAGCCACTGTGCCACTAGGGTCCCTTGGTTAGTGTTTATGGTGTGTTAAACATCAGATACTATGGAAGATCCAAGTACAAGAAGTTGGAAATGGAAGGTTGGAATCCTTCAGGAGGCTGATCTGGCTGGCGGTGGAGATTAGGAAGCCACGTACATAGAAGGTGACAGCCGTAATGTGGGAGTAGGTTGTGAGGACAGCTGACTGAGGGGGAAGGTCAGAATTAAAAGGTTCCTCAGGGGAAGGTTATCCAGGAAGCTGGAGAGGTGGTTTTTTATTCTTTCTTTGTATTTGTTCTTTTCTTTCTTCCTCTGTTTTCTCTTCCTTCTCTGCCTCCCTCCTCGCTATCTCTTTTTCTCTTTCTTTCTGGAAGCAAAAACAACTCCAGGGGCTGCAGAGACTCAGTAGACAGGGACGGGAACTATCCACTGGTTAGTCAACAACTTGCAGTAACTTTGGCCAAAGGACACATTGAAAACTTTGGCCAAAGAGGAGGCATGATCAAAGGATAACACTGTATTTCTTAAGGATCTAAGTAGACTTGGCAAAACATGTTTTGTTGTGGGAAAGGAGGGATCGAAGCTAAAAGAGAAAAACACGGAATTTGATGGAGCAGCAAGTGGAAAGAATCCGTCACCATAATAAATGGAATTTTCTGTCAGGTAGAACAGGAGTTCATTCTCACAGGTAGAATTTACTTCTAAGTTATCAAAAGAAATTTTTATCTATTTTTGAATGGAAAGACCCCCTGTTTCATTTTTATTTTATTTCCTTGGTTTTTCAAAATTATTTGGCCATTTGATAATTGTTTCAGTGTAGAGTTATTCTAATTCTGTAAGCTCATATTTTTTTTACCTTTTTTTTGCTGTTGATTATATAAATAATATATATTATCTATCATAATATATAATACTTATATAATAACCTATTATATATGATATGTAATATATTATTATACAATTTATAGTCAGCAATACGTATATATATAATATATATAATAATATACATAAAATATATATTATAATCAGCAGCAATATTTTATATGTATAATACTTTTAATGCTATAGGTCCCTAAAAGGACAGCTGACTAAGCATTTTAATAACTTTGCCTATTTACTGTTCATTATTGAATGTGTGGCGTTAAAAACTTGTGATTGTAACCATCTTTTAACACTGTTTGTTGCAGGGGAATTTACCTAAATATTCTCACAATTCCCTGATGGTTCAAGCAATAAAGACAAACCTAACAGACCCTGACGTCCATGTGCTCTTCTTTGACGTGGAAGCACTGATTATCCAACTCCTGACTGAGGAAGCCTCTAGGCCGAATACTGCGCTTATTTCCCCAGAGAATTTGCAAAAAGCATCTGGCAGTTCCGACAAAGGGGGCTCCTTTCTCACCGGGAAACGCGCAGCCGTCCTCTTCCAACAAGTGAAAGAAACTATCAAAGAGAACATAAAGGAACATCTCCTGGATGATGAAGAGGACGACGAAGAGTTAATGAGGCAGAGAAGAGAAGACAGTGATCCTGAATATCGGGCCAGCAAATCGAAGCCATTGACCCTATTAGAATATAACTTAACTATGGACACTGCCAAACTGTTCATGTCCTGCCTTCACGCCTGGGGTCTGAATGAAGTTCTGGATGAAATCTGTCTGGACCGCCTTGGGATGCTGAAGCCCCATTGCACAGTATCCTTTGGGCTCTTATCAAGAGGAGGGCACATGTCATTGATGCTTCCTGGTTATAATCAGGCCGCCGGGACACTATCACGTGGGAAAGCTGAAGGAGGAAGGACGCCTCTAGCCACTGAAGGAGTAGGGAAGGGAACTTACGGAGTGTCCAGAGCGGTCACCACACAGCATCTCCTGTCTATCATATCTTTGGCAAATACCTTGATGAGCATGACCAATGCCACTTTTATTGGTGATCACATGAAGAAGGGGCCTACGAGGTATGACAATGATCGTTTGATTTCTTACGTTCAAAAATTAAAAAAAAGAAACCAGTTTCATTTTTGTTACTGTTGATTATTTATTTTTGTTGTGGCTATAGTTTATTATTTCATATCATTTCAGTGTTTAGCTTTTACATGTTAAAATTCAGTTAGATCTCCAGTATGAATGATTTAAGCATAATAAAATTATACATTTTTATTTACATGTAGACATATTTAGTAACTATTTTAAAAAAATAGTTTGGAGTGAGTCGGTCACAGTTCAGCTTTACCAAATGAACTCTAGTGCTTGAGTAAGTAGCCTTAGAATTGTATGTACTTAAGGTTTCTACTAGTATTTGATTTAAAATGTATATCTGGTTAAAGTGTTTTCTCTCATTGGACTTGCGATGTGTGTGCAGCGATTGGCTTCAGAATTTTATGAAAAACATGGTCAGAACAATGTTCTTAGAGCAAACCTAAGGGCAGTTGCGGTCCAGTGATTCCAGCTCACGGTGCCCTTGTGTGTCGCACCGTAGAACTGCCCTCCATGGGGTTCTCAGGGCTGTCGGCCTTCTGGGAGCAGATCCCTGGGCCTGTCTTCCAAGGCCCCTCTTGGTGGGTTTGAACCAACAGCCTGCTTAGTAGATATGTGCTTGACTACTTGGGCCACCCAGAATCATAGCCTGAATCGCAGTCTTTCCCAAGTTGTGGAGATAACCAAACCCTGATTTAATTTTGCTCCATTGAAATTTAACCATATCAAGATTTTTTTTTTTTAATCTAATAGATACTTATGCACTTACTTTGTGTAAGGCTCTGTTCTGAATACTTTACAAAAATTATTTAATGCCATTACCCTATAAAAGGAGCTCTGGTGGCACAGTGTCTAAAGCATTTGACTGCTAACCAGAACCTTGGTGATTCAAACCCACCAGCCACTCCTCGGAAGGAAGACTGGGCAATCTACTACTTCTGTAGAGATACCTCCTTGGAAACACAAGAGGTGTTGCTCTGAGTTGGAATCAATTCGATGGCAGTGAGTTTGGTTTTGTTTGATTACCCTATAAGGCAGGGCACTTTTATAATTCCTTTTTGACAGATAAGAAAACTGAGGCACAGAGAGGTGAAGTAACTTGCCCAAGGTCACACAGCTAGTAAGTGGTAAAACCACAATTCACACCCACACAGTCTGCCTCTGGAATCCCTAGTATGCTTCATCTCTAATAATATGGTGCCTATGTACAGTTTCTTGAAGCCTTACTACCTTTTTCAAGGAGTCCTTGTGTGGCACATATGGTCAACCACTCGACTACTAGCTGCTGATTGGTGTTTAGAACGCACCCAGAAGTTCCTCAGAAGGCAGGCCTGACAACGTGCTTCCCAAAAGGTCCCAGCTTAGGAAACCGTGTACAGCAGTTAGCCCTGCACACGTAGGGTGGCCATGAGTCATAGTCGGCTCCATGGCGACTGACAATAACAGCCTTCTCAGATTTTAGGACTGCGTGATTTAGAGCTTAGTGTATTGGTTCATATAGGGAAGGCTGAAATTTCAGAATACTGATATTGAGGAATGAAAGGCTCTCATTATAATATTTACCTGTCACTGGTAGTACTTTGAAGTGCTTATAAATATTTCTTAAACTAGCATCAAGCATAAATTGTAGATACAGAATTTTTACTAGCAACTTGCTTAAAAATAAGCTTATCATGTAGTTGGGAGCTCTGGTAGCATAGTGCCTAAGGCACTTGACTGCTAACCAGAAAGTTGGCAGTTCAAACCCATCAGCCACTCCTCGGAAGGAAGATGGGGAAGTCTACTTCCATAGAGATACTGCTTCGGAAACCCAAGGAGGGGTCGCTATGAGTCGGGTCCGACTCGACAGTACATAACAACAAGAACAACATCATGTAGTTACCTCATTTAATTATTTGACTATATTAAAGTTTTAAACTGAAAGTGCTAATTGATACAAAACAAAAAGAATATTATCTTTTTTGGAACAATGTATTAAAAATGTTCTGTTTTTGTATCTTTTGCAACATTTGGAACTGGGAAAATTAATGTGAATATATATATGTAATATATATACACACACACACATACATATGTATGTTTTCTTTTTTTTTTTTTTAGGCCACCTAGACCAAGCACCCCAGACCTTTCTAAGGCAAGGGGTTCTCCTCCAGCTTCCAGTAATATTGTGCAAGGACAGATTAAACAAGGTAAAGTGAAATCTTATTAAGTAATTGGCATGGCATTTCAGTTGTAGAAATGGAGTAGGCACAGCTAATGTGTAATCAGAATATTTCGTTTGTCTCAGGTTGTTAAAAGAGAGGAAAGTTGTTATATTCCAGATGTAACTGTGGATAATTAAGATGTCAGTTAAAAGCAAATCAGATTTATTTAGAAATTGATGAATGAACATATTTCACATGATTTTATTGTACTATCTTTGACCTAATTTTTATGCATTAGGGCACCTTAACTTGACACACTAGTGGCTTGATTGTGTGTGTGGAGAATTTAAAACTACAAGTATTTTCTAATAACATTTTGGAATGCTTAAATTCATAGCTCATGCTGTAGGTGAACTGCCGTTTACCAGTAGTTTACAGTTATGATGCACTGGAAGAAATCTGTGTTTGCAACTGTTTGTCTTAACTTTTCATTTAAATTGTCATCTATCTTAACTTCAGCCTATAGCTCTGTTTTTCATTAGAGGGTAGGATAGAGAAGAAGAAAGTTTGAGTCTCTCTTCATGTATTAAGTATCTTTTGTACTCACGGTAAGACTGACACTGAGCTGTTCAAGAAAGGGGGCGCTCCCTTCTGCAGACTGAGCTCTCCTGCAGCTTACAGTGAAAGCGCCTCTCACTGCAGGTGGTGGAGAGAAAGAAAACCACCAGCAAGAATGGGACCCGAAGGGTCTGCTTCTAAGTGGTGACTTCCTGGGGTCTGATTGTTTTTCTTTAGTTTTTTGTATTGTTGTTCTGTTGCTGTTTTGGTTTTTTAGTTTTCAGACATCAAACAGTAGTTCTGCCAGGTTTGTTAGATAAACAATAGTCCCCCAACTTGATATCTACAATTTTCTCCTTGCCTGGGACTAGTGCTTTTATTTCTTTTAGCTGGTTATTTGATACTTACTTAATATCTTTAAATGATAAGCTTGATTATGGGTTTTAGCACTGGGCTGACTTCTCAGCAGCAGTTCTCAGCCTTCATTTCCAGCCCCACGGAGTCACCTGTCTCATCCCCCTGTCCTCTCATGAAAGTACATTTCAGGCATTCCTATCATGTATGTAGCTAAAAGTGGAATTTCTGGATATGCTTATCTTCAGCTTTAGTAAATATTATTAAGCTTTTATCCCAAGTGAGAGACTATACATCCTTACCTAAAGGACTAAATGCAAAACAGATTGGAAGTACTCAGTGTTGGCGAGGATGTGGAACAATGACAACTCTTATACACAACTGGTAAGATATCCTAGCCAGCACCCAATATTTTTAGTCTCTTTTACCACAGCTATTTTTATGTCATTTTTGTCTTTGTTCCCATATATGTAAATGTGTTTACTTTTTAACTCTGGCTGCTTTTAAGATTTTCTCTACATCAGTGTTTTTCAGCAACTTGATAATGAAATATCTTGGTGTACTTTTCTTCATGTTTCTTGTAGTTGGGATTTGTTGAGCTTCTTATATCTGTGGGTTTATAGCATTAATTTTAGAAAATTTTGGACCATGATTTACTTCTTCAGATATTCTTCATGCCTGCCCCTCTTGCTTTTCTTTATTAGCTGCCTTTGGGTCAGTTCTGACTCCTAATGACCTTGTAACAGAATGAAACACTGCCTGGCCCTATGTCATCCTCGCAGTTGTTGATAAGCATGAACCCATTGTTGCAGCCACTGTGTCAGTTAATTTCATTCAAGGTCTTCCTCTTTTGTGCCAACCCTCTGCTTTACCAAGCACCAAGTCCTTCTCCAGAGACTGGTCGCTCCTGGTAACATGTCCCAAGTACATGAGACAGAGTCCCACTGTCCTTGCTTCTAAGGAACTTTCTGGCTGGAGTTCTTCTCAGATAGACTTGTTTGTTCTTCTGGCACTCCATGGTATATTCATTTACAATTCTTGTATCTGTGGATGCTTTTTTCTGTGTGTTTTGTTTTAGATAACTTCTATTGCTATGCCTTCATGTTCAGTAGTTTTCTTCTGTGATTTCTAACCTGCCATTGCTTCCATTCATTATTTTTTTTTTTTTTTTTTTTTTTTTTCCCTAGTGTCTTATTTGCATCCTACTAATCATGGTAGGAGTAAAAAGACCATGTCAAGAAAGGCTATATGAAGGCAATCCATCACACCACAGAAACTAAAAGGCTTTGCTTTAGAATGAATGGCTTAGGAACCATTATATAGAAGACCTACACAATGACAGAATGAGGAGGAAAATGCCAATCCCCATATTAGCTTCACTAGATTTTACTGCCTCACTTTGAATTTCCTTTGAGGGAAGGTTTTCAGGTTCTATTGTCAAACCTTAACTTCCAGTTTTCACCTTCTAAACTCACTCCTGTCCTCTATTTATCTGTACTTCAGTCCAGACATCTCTAGGATTGATTTGGCTAACGAGATTCATTTTCTTCTCCCACTCCTACATAAATTATAGGCTAAGCTACTCAATCATTCAGTGTCCTTCCCTCAGAATTTTAAATTCTAGGATATTGTTTTAAGTTTTTGCCTTTAAAATTTTTTTTTTGCTTTATTATTATTATTATTATTATTATTATTTTGTGATGTGGGTGAAAATATACGGGGCAAATTCACTTTCCATACAGCAATTCACGTATACTTTGTCTCATGACATTGACTACAATTTACCCCAATGCAACAGCTCCCCTCCCACTTCCTCCCAATAGTTAACTCTTCTGTGTGTCCTTCCCTCCATGCACTCCTGCCCCCTGAGCTATCTCCCTGTGCATAAGCAGCCCTTCTTTCTCCCATGATTGTTCTCTCCAAGAAGTGTATCTACCTCAGGTAAATGTTCAACTCATCTGCCTGTCTTTTGTTTGGCTGGAAGCCACAGATGTGAGTTAAGTTGCAGACCTAAACATTCATTATGTTTTCATCTCGGACATTTGCATCTACAGAATTTTGATTTAGGCATCTTTTATATCTTCTTGTGTCTGCTTAACTTTCTGAATGTACATGATGTAGTTTTAATAACTTTTTTAAAGTCCTTGTTTGATAATTCTTATATCTTTGTCAATTCTGACTTGGCTTCGATTGATTCGTTATTCTCATTTTGGACTGTGCTGTCCTGCCTCTTTGCCTGCCTTGTGATTTTTTATTAGATGGCAGACATTTGAATTTTACCTTGATGAGCAGTGGGCATTCTTGGGTTCTCATAGCTCTCCCTGAGCTTTGCTCCGAGTGCTTTACTCAGTGCCCCATTATGGGATTCCCACGCTGGCTGCTGAGAACCGGCGTGATTTCTGGGCCTGAAGGTAGTTCTTTTCCCAGCTTTTGCTAGTTCCCTTACAGACTTGCCGATCAGCACTCTGCTGAGTGCCTGAGAGGGACCCGGAGGAGCTCCGAGGTTTTCTTCTTTGCAGCTCTCTCTTTTCTGTCCTGGGAGCTGTGAAATCCAGCTGCCTTGGTCTCCCCACACTCTTAGTTCTGAAGCCTCAACTCAGGAGTCTTCCAGGCTCCCCCCAGTCCTGCTCCTCCCTGTATTTTGGCCTAGAAACTCTTTCAAGGCAGTGTACCAGGACAGTCATAGTGCTCACCTTGTTTATTCCCCATATCTCAGTCCTTCTTTGTCTAATGTGCAGTGGCTTGAAAACTATTGTTTGTTGTATTTTGTCCTTTTTTTTGTTTGTTTGCTTTTTGACTGTTTTAGGTGCAATTATATATCAGATTTCTGTTCCTCTGTCTTGGCCAAGTAGAAGTCCTTGGTTTTTTTTGTTTGTTTGTTTTGGTGTGTAATATATATACACAGATAAATATATAAAACCCAAAACCACACCCACTGCCAGTGAGTTGATTCTAACTCATAGTGACCCCCATTGGGTTTCAAGGCTGTAAATATTTACAGAGGTAGATTGCCTCATCTTCCTCCCATGGAGCAGCTGGTGAACTTGAACCACTGACCTGGTTAGAAGCAGCTAAGTGCCTTACCCACTACACCACCAGAGCTCATATATTCATATATTTATATGTAAAACATTTGTTTAAGAGCTCTGGTGATGTAGTACCTAAGGCATTTGACTGCTAACCAGAGGGGTGACAGTTCGAACTCAACAGCCACTCCTCAGAAGGAAGGTTGAACAATCTACTTCTGTGGTGATACGGCCTTGGAAGCCCAAGGAGGGGTCGCTATGAGTCGAATCCGACTTGGTGGTGTGAGTTTGGTTTGTTTTTTTGTAAAGCATTTGTTTAGGACAGCAAGGTTTGGGAATTTTCATTTGGAAAACAGATGTCTGCCCCTTATTAATGTCTATGAAGCTCAGCAAGCTGTGCTGAGAGAGGGTGAAGCACAAAAACTGTAGAATAAGATTATGAAGCCCGTGTTTTAATTGCATATTGAAATGAATATATGGAGTAATTATTCCTTCAGCAAATGATTATGATGTACTGTTTGTGTCCAGGCAACTCTGTTTGGAGGTCTGGAAAGATTAGTCTGACACACAAACTACTCAGGAGAGTATGGATGTCTGTGCACAAAGGGCATGGAGGCATTGTCCTCTGACCTCCTCTGACTTCACAAGAGGGAGACAAAGTCAACATCAGCAATGCAAAGCTTATCCCTATGAGGCCAGACGTCCCACCACCCTCCGGCCGTTTTACTGATTCTGACACCAACCATACCTCCCATGACACTCTCTACTTCTCTGCTGGGTTCGGTAATTATTGCGATGGCCACACAGAACTCACAGACAATACTCACAATCACAGGTTTTTTAGGGCAGTAACAGGTTTCAGTTTGGGTTCAGGAGCACATTCAGGACGTGATTCTTCAATCAAGACAACCTCCCATCAGCCATGCCCAAAGGCACGCCTATTTTTGGCCCTCAGCCTCTTGGCCTGGCTCCTGCTCAGGCAAATGTTACAGAGCTCTTTTAACTCTGCCAATAGGGGTGCCTACGTGCACCCTACTCCACCAGCAAGCCTCCTGCCCAAAGGCACTCAGCTTTCTCTGTGGGCCAGCAAGCGTACCACTCTGCCTC